TTTTAAAATTTTTGCAATTTTGCTGGTGAATTGTATATGGTGTAAGTGCGAAGGAAATAATGCTTAATGATAAAGCTAAAAAAACAATAGTAAAAGTGAGTGTAACACCAGACTTGTAAACTGCGAGCTCAGCGAGAACGAAAAAAACCGTAACAAATCCTTTTGGGCGACCGTTTAAAATCTGAAACCTTTAAGAATTTTATTTTAAATTTTTAAATACAAATAATTAAAATTCAGTTAATTATATATTGGCATTAATCAAATAAGTTTATAGAAAGAAAGTTATATTCGTTTTTAATAATTCAAGATTATTGCAGTTTGGATAATTTTTATCTGATTAAGTAAAAATTAGGCATTAATGAAAAGAATGGGATTGCCGATTATTGCACAGTAGTTTTATCTTTGGATGTGTATTGGTAAGTTTAAGTCCGAGATCTGTACATACATCAAGTCCATTCCGATACTTTGTTTTTACTTGACGAAAACGTTTTGTCTCACAAATACGTATAAATAAACTGAATTATAATTTTTTAAGCACTATTGTATATATTACTATATACCGTTTTCACTGGTAACGAAGTTCAGAAATTAGCCTTCTGCTCCAAATTTCATTTCAGAGACTTCAATGCGCTGTTTTCTTCATTAAATGACAGTTTGTGATTTTCAATACAATTATGGAAAAGCTCAAAGAACTCACGAAAAGTCGTTATATTTACCTCTTGGAAAATAAGCCTCAAATAGTGACATCAGAGTTTCGGGATGCGAATATCGTTGATTAATTATTTTTTAATAAATTCTTTTTCATTTTCTTTTAGAAATAATTAAGCTTTTAAGTGTTGAAATTCTGAAAACCTTTCTCTGTTTTACGCAAGTAACTCACAAACCAAGTTTCCTCTCAAACCCCTTTACTTTCTCATAGAACTCAGAACAATCAAAGAATTATCTTGTAAACTTTTTTAGTCCAAAGGGTTTTGTCCTTGAAGGACTGTTGTTTTCGTTTTGCGATTTTGCGTCGGATTCCTATAAACGGCGTATCACTTTTCAAATCGTTGCCACCAAATACTATCGCCCTGTGTTATATTTGAAGAAATTAAATAATGAAGAATCTGCATAAATGTATGTATGTTTCTCGCATTGTCATAAAACAACGGTACCTGGAGCCATCGAGATTTGAATTACGTAATCCGACTGCAAATATGGGCATCTGAAAGCCCAAATTTGAAATTTGGAAATTGCTTTATTATCGATTTCATATTTTGTAAAACTTTAACGAATTTTTGAGTAACAAACTCAGAGATTTAAAAGCGAGCAGTGGCAACACTCTACGGGGGGGGGGGAAACCCTTTATCTCCAGCGCACGGAACTGTGTATCCGAAATTCTAATGATATGCTCATTTTAAAATTATTTTGTGACGCTGCTGTTGAACTAAATTTTATGGTTTAAGTGCAAAGAACATGATATTTAATAAATAAAGGTAACACACAAAACCGTTAAAAAAACGCACCTTTGGACGTAAATTAAAATCTGAAACCTTTCTGAACCTTTTTTATTTATTAACTTTTTTTAAAAACAATGCACGTAAAAGAGAGATGCCCCGCGTAGAGTGCTTCTTTAAAGGAAACTGGTTCGTATCCACATTACACGCAGGAGAAACCATGAAAACGCTCATGCACCCAAGCTGATTTTGCCGGCTCTCGAACCTCGGACCAAACTACCAGTTTTCAGCAGCTTTTACCGCTTGGCTTTATTTAGCTTTGAGTAAACATCTGAAAGATATCCCAGTGTACTTAGCCTCACATGTAATTTTCTAAATAAATAATTATCGGTCATCAACAAAAAAGATGTAAAATCTTGTAAATTTTGTTTACAAACATGATGTTTTGCAAATCTAGAAGTACCGCAAGGTATCGAGGAACACTCTTGGTCCACGGATCACAGTTTGAGAAACTCTGCTGTAAGGGTTTGTCCTTGAAACACTAAAGTTCCCGAAATTAATGCTACTGTTAATAAAATTAATGTTGATGTTGAAATTAATGTTCAAAAAATGTTATTTGTTATTTTCTTGATTATAATTCAAAAATGACCTTTGATTTTGTACCTTGCCTCCTTTTCTTCCAATACACATCCAACGTCCAGCTTGAAATCACATCTATCAGAAGCCGGCAGAATGTTTCGCGTAAAACAAATTAGAAAGTTGTACTTCTACACGGAGTTTTACGTTAATAATCACTAAAGGACCAAGTACTTTAAACTCATTTTAAGTATCCTAAGTCGGTAGATTATTTTCTTTGAAAGGTGCTTAAAAGAAAGCTATTAAATTAACCAAATAAGATGAATCCTGTCATAGCACTACTTTTGTATGATGACCATTTCTGAAAAAGAAGAGTATCTTTGAAGAAACGTATAAGTACAAAATTCGGCAAAAACATAACTGTAAACTGGAGCAGAGTTTGAATAAAATTCTATTAGTTTCGAGAACGGTTTGGCCTAGATCTCTTGCATAGCCTACATTAAGGTAGACAAACGAAAGCGAATTTAGTAGTATAGGATTTTAAGTTATAAAAAAAGTTTCTCAGATACACAAACTCTAAATACTTGTACCGCTTCTTCTATCTAAGGTCTAGTTAGCTAAAGTGTCTGGGGAGAAAACGTCTATGAAATTACGAAGTTCCTTTTTCTGAAACTATTCGTAATTATAAATCATGTGCGGGCATTATGCAGCATCTCAATTATTAGCATGTTAATCATACAGTAACTGAAACTTGTAAACTTTTGCGTCGGATCACTTTTCAAATAAAAGGATGCTGCCACCAAATGTTGTCGTTATGTTTAATTTTTAAAGAAATAGTACATATAAATAATACAACCAAATACTTGTATACCGAATATAAAAAGAAATATATGGCGATACTTACTACTCTATCAGGAATTCTAAATATGTTTTTAAAAATTTTGTGTTTGACTGTTTAAAAATTAGTCATTGATTTATGAATCCGAAATACTACATTATCATAGGATATATTACACCCAATCGGATATTTTCAAATCGAAACAGTAGGACGGATGTATACATAAGCAAGTATAGTTATCATTGGCCATTATGGTTGGGTAAAAGGAATAATAAAATATGAGTATTGTTTATAATCTACACTGAACTGTAAAGTTCATAAACAAATTATATTTAATTTAGAAACGATCAAAGGAAGTGATAGTTTACTTAAAGCTCGGTGTTGCTCTACCAGTTCCATGTATTAACATAGAATTGATATGAAAGTCTTGAACTGGCCACATCATTTTTTTTATAAAAATGGGAAACATCATAATTCTTTTTTTAAAAAATAATTATTTTTCCTAATTATGTTATATGTCGTATTAGAAAAAACTTTTTTGAATAACAACAAAACTGCAAATGCTATTTTGCAGCTTTGTTGAAATGAGTTTAAAATTAAAATGAAAATAATGAATAAATGAGTTTATAAATTAAAAATTAAATAAAATGAGTTTATAAATTAAATTCATGTTAGTGTATACCAAGAATTCTTGAAGAAAATGTAAAATGAAGATTTAAGATATGTGTAAATTCTTTTAAATCACATTCAATAATAAATTAAGTTTCTCATTCAATAATATATTAAGTTTGGAGGATAAAAATATGTTTTGTTTTGCTGAATGGTAACGCTTTGAAAATCCGCCGTGCACGAAGGCACGTGGAAAATAAATGAGAGAATGATGCGACGTTTCACCCAGTGGCAACACTTGCCAAAGGTTATCTCTAAATTCTTTCCGTTCTTCTTCACCGTCAGTTTCCGGAGACGTAATCGTATCTACACATTTACTCTTCCAGGAGAGAGTTTTAAATTTTAAATGAAAACGATACACCTACTTCGAAAAGAAAAAACGTACATGCCAAATTTCAATAATACTTTAAGGTATATGAATCCTTAAAAATTAATATATTTCTCATAATAGGTATTTATTTACCTATTTATACTTATGCTTCTTAAAGCAAAAATAAAGAAAAATTAGTTTCAAATGTATTTCATTGCCTCATGCGCGAATTTTAAAATGCAGCTATTTAGTTTTATAAATCTTTTGCAGGGAAATTTGGAAAAAGAAAAATTTTAGTTTCTTTTCCTCTAGTATAGTATGACATTAAAAAAAGTGTTAGTCCGCTAATATGATTGCTGTTTAGTTTTCAGATTTTTCTTACAGTTTGGTTTGTTTTTTTTTCAACTGTCAATAAATATCAAAATTTATAAGGTAAGTTTAATTATACTTAATTGCATATGAAGGTGCGTTTCTTATTTAATTTTTGTATAAATAAAACAGACAGAACACACTTTGATTACCCATAAAATATTTAAAGCTGTGTTCCGTAAACATTTGTGATGCGAATTCTTTTTTCGGAATTGGCATAAATGCTTCTTAAATTATGATTAAGAGCAGCAAATGTTTCTATAAAATAAAGAAAATATTTTTGACTTTTCAGATTGTAATAAAGACAGTTACTTATGAAACAAAATTTGAGAAAATACGTGTATTTAGAAATCCAAATATTTTCAAAATGTGGTGCAGAATTTATATGGAATTTTAAAAATGCACAAAATAGCATTTTTTTATCATACAAATAAACATTTAACGGAAAAAAGAATTTAATCTTGCTTCTGAAAAAAAGTGTTTCTTAATCTGCAATACTGACTTATACATCCGTATAAATTTTGCGAATTTAAACGTATAAAAGAGAAAGACCTTTAATATATAGCTTTACACGAAAAAAGAATTTCTGTAGAACGCTATTGCCATAATATACTCTCAAAGTAATTCTTCTCTTCCGATCAAAAGAAGCGAAATGAGATTTCAATATGCGTTCTAGGATAAAAAGAAAAACTTAGGAAACTGAAGTAAAAGCGCCAGTGAAAAAGAGAACTGTATCGCTGCAGACATTTCGCGCTTTCCACTGTATGTAAATGAAGTGAAACTGCGCCAGCCGGTATAAATCTAACGCCAAGGTTGCCATTCCTCCATTGCCCCAAGTGTCTCCTTGGATAACACGCTGTTTTTTACCCCTTCCGCTTTTCAAACCTACAACTTGTTGCGTCTGCCAGTTTGCGTAAAGGTAACTGGTTTTATTTTCTTAATGTTTCCTTTTTTTTTATTCTACATATTATGTTCTTCCCGTTATTAAGCTTTAGTTTGTATACCGGCTAACAGTCATGGCGGCTGGTAAGATTCCAAATTTTATATTATTGTCTGAATTCCTTTACTTTATAATATTAAATGTATGGTGACTAAGCCTGAAATAATGTCGGAGTTCTGTTAGCTTACTTGACAGTGCACATGGCTAGAACAGCTGCGAATATTTTGCAAAAATATTTCGAGCTACGAAGTAATTACTATTTCTTAAACAGTTGTTGTGAAGTTTTCGAAACTAATACGGAAGTGAAACTCTTCAAAATCCCTAATGCAGTTTTCAAACTGTAAACACCTTTCTATGATAAAGGCTTACTAACGCTAAATTTTATGTAGCTTTCAGTGGAATATTTTGCATTTCTAAAGTATCCGTGCTTGTAGCTGGTTTAGTAAAATGCTACTTCAGTAGCAATGGGATTTGGATTTTTTACAAATCACTTTAGGACGTAATTTTAATACTCTGAAGTCTTACAATGCAAAGTCTGGGAAAACTGTCAACTTTATTAAAGATAACACTTAAATGCTTAACTTAATTTTGAAAAAATGTCCTTTAAAAATGTTTGCGTTCTTACTAATCTAAACTTCTAGATGCCAATAGTATTTTTCTATTTGAAATATTTTTTTTCCGGTCAAAATTAAGTTCTTGTACTCGGATATATGCAATTATTGTTGTGAAAATTTTAATTCTTTTGCGATACGAGTTTCTTCTTACTGATCTTAATAGGGAAATCTCACCTTTTAGTTGTTACTTTAGAGTATTTATAAGATAATCATGATGAATAGTAAAAAAAAAAAACTTCTAGTACTTATAATCAAGCTTGATTTTTCTTGATAATGCTAATAATATAGAGGGAAATTCAATTTAATATCAAAATAGGTTTAGTTGTTCCATTGTGAATCGCTGTATTAAGCGTTGGTTCTAAACAGCTGTACACTGAAAGAGAAACCTGGACTTAAATGGATTCTTCTGTACTGTCTTAATCCGAAACTAATGAGATTAAGAACTGTAACGGATGCTTTGAGCCGAGGAATAAAGCCATATTTCTGTTTATTCAGACACGTGAATATTCAGATCATTTAAAGATTAATCTAATTTATCGCATCTACTTTATGTACTTTCGATTTGAAAAGCAAATCGTTCTTCATTGTGAAATCTTGCTAGGTTTGGTACGATTTGAAATCTGCATATTAAGCCCCTTTTTCAATAGTATTTAGTCATAACTAATAAGTATACTAACCATTAAATTCATAGTAGGAAGATAATTAATCGTAACCAAACTCGTGTGAAATGAAACGTTGATTATATATTTAACAGTTCACTACATTTAAGTAATAAATTAGTTATTTAAATATGTTTGTATTAATGCACATATTCTCCATAAATAATGAAACTCTGAAGTTGTTAAACGTACTTTTGGAACTTCATTTGAAATTGTCTGTCTTAAAAAAAAAATTATGACCCTGAAATAGCATATCGTTTAAAATATGTTAATTTTATCCCCGAGATCTTAATGCGTAATTAATCCCGATTCGCAGTGTGTAAAAGTGCAATAGGATATTCTTTTACAGCTCTTAACGTCATTCACTTAATAACATTCTTGTTGGGAATTCGTGTTTACCTTGAGCGCAGTACGGAAGAAATTGAATTTCTTTAAAGTCTTTACTCTTGCTATAGCGAGTTATTAAAAATTGTGGTAGAATAAATACTGAACGAGCGAAATGTGTTTTCCGAAATACTGTACAGCCCGAGTTCGAATCGGTTGTTAAACAAGATTGATACAGCTTAGCAAGTCAGGAAGTAAACCTTGGAACCATTTTAATTACGATAAAACCGGATCTTAATGGTGTAGGTGCATGTAAAAGTGAGAAGGCGTGACGCCAAAATCTAACCCTGCTGGGAAACGAAACTAGTAAGTTTTCTATTAAAACTTAATTGTTGACTTGATTGACAATAAATTACAAGTAATAGTATACCTTGAAATTAATCGTTGTAAAATAAATGACTCTTGTACGTTATTTTCTGCATTATTTTTATGATATTGCATCTTGCAAGACAAATTTGAACTACCTTGCCTTTTTTATTTTTCAGATAAAATGGGTGTTCTCTACTTGTTCCTAGTACTCGTAATCCAGGTAAGCCATCTGTTTTCACGTTTATACATTTTATATAAATTGCTTCAGAATTTGAAAATTTGAAATTCCAGATCAACGTTTCTCAGACATGCAACCGTGAGACAACTTTCGACTGAAAAATAGCTTGAAGTTTGGCAAGAAATATTCATAGCCAACACTAGGCACTGACCTACAAGTTTATGATCGCAGAAAACTGGTAGTTCGACCTGGGTTCAAAACCAGGCGAACGATTTGACTGTGTAGCTGGTTTATGATTTCCCCACCTCTAACATGAATACGAGCCAGTTTAATTTGAGATACTTAAAATTATCCCTTCTCTTAAACAGATAGCCTTCGTAGGCTTTACCATAGTCGAATAACATAACCTATCAAGAGTAGAGTCTGAGAAAGGTTGCTCTGGTCTTTAAAATTTAATGGAATTCACAATGGCTGTCTTCATCTTCTAAAAAATGTTTATAATTTCAATTGGTAAATTCACCGTAGACCTGTTGCCAATTATTGCCATTAGCAAACTCTTGAAGTCGTACCTATCGCTGTTCCTCCGATAGTAAATTCATTTTCTAGTTAGAAACTTTTAACGCTTTTAATTGAAATGTTTATGCAGTATTGTAAAATGGGAAATGCTTTATTTAGTGTAGAATTTACTAGTATGTAGAGGTTTTATACTTTTTATCTTTATTTACATGCTAGCGTTAAGGTTTCAAAAAGAATTCTTCAGTGGAGTCAAATTTAGGAAAAGATCTTGCATTATAGATCCATACACTGACATCCGAAATTTTAACCTTTTTAAAATTTAAATACAAATATAATATCCTATTTTTCATGGCAAGACTCTTGCGTCTTGGCTTTTTAAAAACTTTCTTAAAGCAGAAGTTTTCCAGCAATTTGATAGAGGAGTTAAATAACTTAGGCCTGTTCTGTAATACAGTTTAATAAATCTGTATTTGCCGTTATTTGCTAAATGTCTTTTCACTACATGCCTGAATTAAAAATCGTCAATCACATCTATATATCTTTGCAAATGAAACTTAAACCATTTACATAGAGTAGAGTGAATTTTTTGAAAATTGTATTCGTTAAGGAAGCAGCCATAAATATTCTCAAACGAACTACCAAGTTTTGACTTGATACTTTGATTTTCTGACCACAAAGCTGAGATTTACGATATCTTCGCGAACTCTAACTTGGCGGTACTTAATCCCAAAACAATCCACTATGGAATTCCGGGAACCCCCATGTTATCTAAAGGCCTGTTCTGTTTTTGAGCTTATGTGCAGAACTACCAACCCTTCGTAAAATCGATAATCCAGTTTCTTCGTCACGTTTCGCGATAAATCTCAATCTTGGTTTTATATATAAATTTAGATTGAATCTTCCAGTTTTCAGAAGTGTGACAGTTCTCCGAATATTAGCAATTTGACTCTGGCTCGAACCCACGCGAGCGCAATGGTAACGTGATTGGTTTTCGTGGATCCTCCATGTGTAAAGCGAATATGAGCCAATTTCCTTCAGGAAGGCCAATCTCCTTTTAGGTAGTTGCCTTCATGTGGTTTGCGATATTCAAATAACCAAATCAAAGCGAAATGTTGAGGATTTTCAAAGGAAATGCTATGAAGAATATTTTAATTATAAATTCTGAAATGCCAACTCAAAACTGCCATGTGTTAATGAAACTTAATACAAAATCCCCCTTTTTTAAAGTTATTTTGCAATCTACTTTTCATTCCATTTGAAATGTTTCGTTACATTACATTCGTAGAGCATTTTATGAAGACTTCCTTGGGTTCAATAGGACAATATTTAGTTAATTTCGCTTTAAATTTTTAAATGGTATATCTACAGTACCAACTCTTATCGTTACGATTGATGCACATTTTCCCAATATGTTAAAAAAGCATGTTGATTAATTAACCTGAAACCGTAGTTTTATATTTAATTTGTTTTAAGTTAAACACTTCATATTAAATCGTATTAAAAATAGTTCAATAGCTCTAATTATTTCCCTTTAAAAATTAGTTTAAAGACTCGTCACGCGATGACCTGAGAATCTCCCGTTATTTGTATTCCAAATGTGGCAGCGGTGTCTGATTAACACTGCTTCTTATTTTCAGTGAAAGTACTGATAAATTCTAATATTTTAAGAAAATTATTTAAGTGTCCAATCTATGAATAACTGATTATATATGGCATGTTCACTAGAAGTAACTAACTACAGCCTGAAAGATTAAATGCAACCTTTTGTACTTCAATGTTATTTCTAGTTTTTTTAAACAAACCGAAAGGAATCAACATTCAATATAGCTTCACAATTTTCATACAGTATGCTCTAGCATTTCAAAGCGGAAGTAATTTCGCATTCATTTCTGGGTCCTTATTTCCATACTCCTAATGCGATTCAAATTCATTTTAAAAAATAAAATCGTAAATTCAAGGTTCTTGAATAACGGTAGTATCGCCGACAGGTACTTATCACGCGAAGCCGAGTGCAGCTGTTTATTACTCAGCGCGGTTTTTATAAATAAAATTATCAAATTGCCCACCAAAATTTTTAAATATCTAACGTGTAGGATAATGCGGAAGTATTTTAATGTAGTTTTGACGACATTATTGCCAAGCAGTTCGATTGTAAAACTGCGATATCAAACACGCGCCTACACAACAGGCTGTGTGGCCCGTTTTCCCAAGTCTGTTTTTAAATTGAGTTTTTCAAAAGCAAGGTAAAGCATCAGATCAGGATGCTGAAGACTCGTTCTTTTTTTATTCTCCTGAAATTAAGAGAATATTGCTGTAGGTACATGCGAAAATTCAATTTCGGTTTTGAAATTTTGCTGCGGTGGTTCGCTACAAGAATCTCATTTTTCAAGGCTACAGTGAGGAGCTAATTTTTAGAATAAACAGCTGCGACTTTTGGACTTGTAAAAAAATCAGTACTGATAATTTTCCTTTTAACCTACTAAATATTGTGGAGATCTTATCTTTGACGTCTGAAAACTTAATTCGTGTAGAAAAGAATAGATACCGTAGTTCAGTTAACTTTAAATTGAACATTTAATACAGATTATCAACGGTTTTTGCGCACTATGAAAATGGATTAAAAAAATGTGAATATTTACAGGAAAATTGCCTCAACAAAGTAAGTTTTAATCTCGACAACATCGTACACATCTTTTAACGTCTTGCACCTTTATCATGGAGGCCCAGTTTGCGCTTTTCTCAGATTTGTCAGCCTGCAGCGCCATCTGTCGGTCGTGAAAGATAGCATCCCACAAATATATCTGAAGGGCGATTGGAAACAAAATATATTTACTTTTGAAGTACCATCTTCAGAATATACATTTTTCTTTAAATAACGAAGGTACTGATTATTTCAAATCGTAAGTTTCACTGCATTGCAACGTAAACTTGATACTAATAACTACAAGTCCTGTTGTGATAAATCTCCTAGGATTTCTGAAGTTTTCTTTAGAACAAAATGCTAAATTTTTCTTAGTGTACGATTATTAATAGTGTTTCAGCGATACAGTTCATGTGAATTACAGCGTAAAAATTGTTAAACAACTCGTATTTTATGTCAGTCGTATAGGAAATTTTAAGGTTAGTACCAGGAAACTAACCTAACTAAATGGGACTAATGTGTCAATTTTCTAAACGAGAGCAATCTTGATACAGATTTCAAAAGTGAAATATTTAAATTAATTTGTAAATATATCATAGATGAACATTAAACTGTACTGTTTTTACAAAATCGTACGTTTGAGTAAGCAGTTGTTTGATATTAGCCCTATGAAACGGCAAAGTGACCTTAGATCTCTGTTTACCATAGATAATGTTGAATGCACACAAGCATACGAGTTCATACTTTACTGACTTCTAAGCTTCTGGGGCCCACCATCGGCCGAGCGGTAAAGTCGCTGAACACTGGTAGTTCGGTCCGAGGTTCGAATCCCGCGAACGGGCTGGCTGCATGGGTGTTTTCGTGGTTTTCCCCATGTGTAACGTGTATACGAGCCAGTTTCCCTTAGAAAGTCCTCCACGAAGGCATCCCTCCCCTTAGGCAGATAGCCCTAGTGTGCTTTGCCATAATTAAATACACCACACACCATCTAAGCTTCTGACTAGAATTTGTTTTTCTGAGCAACGTAAAAATTGTAACGTTGTCTCCATTTTGAACTGCGTTTGATTGAAGCTTGATAGTCTCTAGCTGTTTAAAAATCTTATCATATGACTTCTAGTACGGCCTATTAAATTATACACAAGTTTTTCTTTACATCGTTAACTTTAATTCCTCGAATTATTCTAAATAACTTAACCCTCAAGACAAATTGAAAGAGATATACATTGCAAATTTCGAAGTTAAATATCCTGGTCAATGTTTTGTCGAACGCTCCCTTATGTCTTGTACATTATGGAAAAATAAAAGTACAGAAACAGGTCATTAACCTTTGACTAATTAAAAAAATACTGTTTTCTTAGTTAAGTGAACAAAATGTCGTAAATAACATAAATTTGAGATTTTTTGACAAACTGTTTTCAAACCCAAGGATGGGACAAATGTCCCAGCCGTAGTTAATGGTAGGATACATGTCTCACACGTAGCGATAGACTTGCTATAAGCACCATTCTGGAGAACTTTATTATACGAAATAGATTTACGTCGTATGGTACAGGATAAAGCATGCTTTGCATAACCCAACATTACACATTGGCCAACTCGTGTTTGTTCTTTATGTTCATTTGTGCACAACGAGCACGGAGCTTTCTGGGATTTTCCAACTATTGAAAGATGATCCCAAGATTTAAGATTCTAAGTACTTTTTAACCCAGCAGTAGTTAAACTTTTAGTGGGACTTATGGCCGTAGTATTCTAAGGGTTAAGTTAATTTTGTCATTGGTCGAAAATTAATTTCTTAATGACTTTGTCGAAACATGAATATTTTCACAATTTGAAACTTGTGTAATTGGAAATACTATTACGACCAATGTTTGCGAAAATAAGTCCG